TGCCACACGGTCCAGGCTCGTGGTCAAATTGACCATCCAATCAAATCATCCCACTTGAAAGTGGTAGTTTTTTGAAAATTCTCACACGATGGCACTGTAGGTGGTACGGGACAATACGTACCGGCACACGTGGACAGACGTACCTCTGTGCACCCATCAAACCGAGCACCAAACACCTTGGCACAACAATCACAAGGGGTTTAAAGCGACAGCCACCAATCACCAAAGTTTTTCTCATCTTTTCTTCTGCTGGAACAACAAAGTTCGGTCACACTGTGGTCCATCAACGATGTTTCCTGACGATCAAATGTTCCAGCAACAGAAGAAGTGATTGAAATGATTGCTGATGAAGTATCGTCCATTGGTGTATTGTACCCAATGCCATTTTATTTTATTTTATCATCTTGCTGTTGCTTCCAAAGTTCCGTTGCTTCCGAAGATTTCAAGTCAAATCCGTCAACTGGCAAATCCGACTGAAATGATGAATCGGCATCTGCGGGCCCCAGGAAGAAACCAAATACAATGGCAAGCTTCATTTTGTATAGAATACATTCACAGCTGCGGCTGGTGATTTATTCTATACCTTTATCATTCCACAACCAACCAATGTTGATCAAACTGCTTCTGTTGGCTGGTTCCTAATGTCGGTTTGCCATCGTTCAGCAGGAGGTTCCCATGGCCGCCATACTACCGGGGCACAACCACTCAACAATACACCAGTCGCTTCTTTCAATCCTTAAGCCTTGAGCAGTATGTGACCTAGTCATGGATTCCGCCTAGATCCAGCATACATTGGCCTAATTGGTGGGGTCAAAACAATGGTAAGTTCTGCTTCAAAACTGGTATTGGTCGAACTGTGGGCCTAATTTCTCCAAGCTTCTTTATTCTAACGCATATTTGTCGTGCATGGGTATGTATATCATGATTGGGGGTTGGAATGGGGGTTTCTGGGTAGAAGTGATGGAACCACAGGTACTTGGTGTGGGTAATAAATTCAGCATAGATTTGGAGAACCTTTACCATTTGTCATGTCGTCACCCAGACAAGGGCAGGCCTTCACCAAAGTTTTCGATGCACCAGTAGTTATCAATATTTGGCGATGGTTTGAATTGCTGCAATGGGAAAAGAAATGTTTGGCTCCTTTTTTCAACTCTTTGCAACACTTCAAGTGATTTGGAGGGATTTCCTTCAATCTGATTGGTTCTACCAAGAGTTCTTAACCAACTTTTGCAATTCACAGTATATAGAGATCTAGTACAGATAATACCTAAAAGTGGTGTAGGTCGGAATAGCACGGTTTGTGATCACAATAAGGTCGTATTTTACAAGATAGGATCTTTTGTCTTGTGGTTTTGATAAAAGTCGAAGTAGTCAATACTTCGGGTATATTTTGGTTTTCCGTCGCCACGACAATCACACGAGATGATTGGATGGTCAAATTGACCATCCAATCATGTAATCCTACGGATTACCAGGCGCCGCCTCCACTTCATGACTCGATATCTAGCGTGATTGGCCTAGGATGATTGCATACTACGAATTTTGTACCAAACAAGATTATGCCAGTCCTCCATACGTAAGTAAGAGATGTAGGTTTGGCATCGTAAGCTTGGTAACTAGAATTAGGGACCGGATTTGGAAACGGGAATCGAAGATTCGACTCAATGGACTCAAACGTGACACAAAGTTGGGACCTGGATGGTACCGAGCATTTGGTGCAGAAGAGATAAATCAGGCCAAGGAATGGTATGCGATCGCTTCCGGATGAAACGGAAGAAAGGGCCAAGACACTTGCGAGTGCATTGAGTGGGAAAAAAGAAAAAGAAAAAAAAGAAAAAAAGGGAAATTTGTGGATGGCTGGTGCAGCATATAAAAGGGAGTAGAAATTTGCGGAAGGTAGCAAGGTAGTTATATAAGAAATGTAGTTGCATCGATCATGGTGATTGCATCATTTTGTTGCATGCACAGATGGGCGACGTTGCGCAGGTATGCCATGAAGGCATCGGATTTCCATCGGAGGAGGAACTTGATCTGGTCAGTGGTTGCCCCGGAGGTGTGGAGGAGGACACAGGCGCCAACTCGGATAGAGTGGGAAGAATACTGGATCTTATCTTGTTTGGGGTCGAGGTTGTAGAGCGAACAAGCAACATGGCGCATGACACGGGTGATTTCGGCGTCATGAAGGAAGAGGACGCGGGCGCCATCTTGGTATACCGCAAGGGGGACATTGGTTGTGGTGATTCCGATTAATCGGTCAAACCGGGAAAGGATGGAATGCATCCGACGGATGTAGCAACGGAGTGGTGACTTTTCGCTGCGAATAAAAAGTTTTTCTTCCCCATGGTTACCGTTCTTCTGATGGGAGAAACGCGTTTTGATTCGCCAAACAAGGTCTGGATTCTGAAGGAAGTCGGAAATGGATACTTTGCGTTTTGACTTGTCGTAACAGGTTACATCTTCGACACAAAATGCAATGGAAATTCCGTCAAAGGTTGCTTGGTCGCCAATATTTTTGTTGGCGGAAGTTTGGGCATACTCGGACAGGCGGTGGCCGTCAAGGAGGCCGATACTGTTCCAGTCTTCACATGTTTTCCAGAGACCGTTTCGGTGGGCTTTGGTGTCGATATTGTGGTGCTCGAGGTGTTGTTGCATGTCGAGGGTATAGGGCTCAAGTTTATTGGGAACGTTTTCATGGCGCTCCACTTCAGCAATGGTGGCATGAATATCGGGTGACATTTTGGTGTCGCTCGGGTTGTTGTATCGGGGATCACGACCGGTGAAAAGGCAGATAAAAGATGCTGCCGCATGGAGGTACTGCTTGATTGTGGCAGACTTGATATATTGGCCTTTAATTGTGCGACCGGTAGCAAGGGCCACTGTGTAGAGTGCAAAGGTTGCGACGCGGCGTTCGTGAAGGAAGTCAGGGCCATTCATTAAATAGTCGTCGCGCAGCTTCATATCATAGCAAAACTTGAGGAAATGGAGTCGGCGGGAACGAAGTGTCCCAGATTTGCGGGGATCGTCGGTGGCGCCTGCTTTGGATTGGAGAATAGACAGGAGCGCAGGACGGAGCAAAGTTCGGGACTCGGCTGGAAATAATCGTAGTTTCTCATCCAAGGTAAAGTGCAAAATGTCTGCGAAAGTAATTGATGGTGAGAGAGTTTCAGGTTTGGGCGGGAAATGAAATCAGCAGCAAAGTTGTTATCACCAGGGATATGATCAGAAAGAGCAGTCAGAGGGGAGCGTTTGAGGAGCTGACCATGCAAGTCGACCAAAAGGCGTGCAAAAGGGCTGTTTGTGCGGGCGTCATTCATCCATTTCTCAGTGGGTGTGTTGTCAGTGCGGTTGAGCAGAACTGGGAATTGGGAAAATCCGGTGGGGAATTTGTGGGCCAGGCCTGGATGGGCATGGGAAGTTCCTTCAAGGCGGACAACCGTGGCAACTTCCTGAAGAAAGGCTACCAAGAACTCAAGGCTGTTGATGTGGACGTAATTGGGGTTGCTGGCTTTTAGTTTTGTACCGGCAACAATATCGGGGCTCCAAACGACGCGGAACCAAAAGAGAAGTTCGTCAGAATAGGCGCCTCCTCCAATGAAGCTAGCATCTCCGTACGACGTGAAATGTGGATCTCTAGGGATCATTTGAGGAATGTAGATTTCCCATGTCTCTGTTTCGAGGCTGTGCTTGATGGCTTGGAGTTTGCGGAGCACAGGTTCGTCAAGGCGGAATCGTTTGTTGGCGTTCCATAGGAAAGTAGCTGCTTCCTTTCCGATAAGGGAAGCAAGGCGGTAGCGGAGGGATGGAGGGAGTTGGTCGGAGATGATTTGGACTTTGTCGTTGCGTTTCATGTAGTGTTTGATGGATTGGTGGCGGGATCGGAGAAATTGACTCAGGACACGTTGCAAGTTGAAGTAGGAACAACGCATCCATCGACAGACGGTGGTTGCAGTTGAAACGTGCCCTAGAAGAATCGCGATATCGCGAAGGGACAGTGACGGGGTGGCCAGTGTTTCTGAAAGGAGTTTAAGGAGGCGGTCCCGTTTGATGGAAGGTAAACGGACTGTCATTCTTCTCAAGTTGATGAGCCATCCAACTGTTTTGCGTTCGTGGGAAAAAGTGTTGGCAAATTTTTCCCAAGATATGCAATCGCGGATCCCGTTGGATGGGTTGGGGAATCCCAATAGGATGTATAGGGCAAGGATGCTGGCTGAAATGGTTTGGCGTAAGAATAGGGCCACGTCGGCGTAGAGGCAATTGTCAACATGGTGATCGAAGGTCGGCGACTTGCGGGATCCGTCTGCCTTTAAAACTCCTTGATTCTTAGAGTCGGGCTCGGCAGGAGTGAAAGCGGCAATGTCTGATGGCGTTGGAAGGGGAGCAAGGGACAGCTTGGGGAGGTATTTTGCGACTCGTGGGATGGTGGTTACGGCAGCATACCAAAGGGATTGGGCAAGTTGCTGGCGGACCATGGCGACGACTTCCCATTGGGCTGGGCTGGTGTTGTCGCCAAATGAGAGACCCGTACAGAAGAAAAGGAAACCAAATAGCATGAACATGTGCATGCCAACAACATTTGGGTTCCATTTGACATGGCGGAAGGCGCCAGAGACATCATCGTCGCAAATGTAGATTTCTTCTTGTGGGTAGGTGATGCGAAGGTTGTAGATCCAGATCAAGAAGTTGGGAAATGACCTCGGGAAGCAGATTTCCGGTTCAGTTTCTTTAGAAGTGAAATCGTTAACTGCCATGGCTGTCAGGGAAGGATGGTGGGTGGCATCAAAGATGATACGGGGTTTGCGATATTCGTGACATGCATCAACCAACCCGAGGGGAGTAGTGTGGGCGTCGCGGATGTATGGAAGTAGGGCTGGGTTGGCTGCCAGAAGGTAGTTGCGGAGGATGTCTTTTTCGACTGCGCTTTGTGTTTTGCTCACGTCGTCGTAAACCGTCTTGTGATTACCGTAGGCAATGAAGGTGCGCAGGTTCTCATCGGTCGATTCCGCATTGACGTATTTGGGGGCGCCATCGAGGAAGATGCGTTTGAGCTGGGTGATGAGGAAGGGGTCAACATTGGCTTCACGGAGAATGGGTTCGAGTGTGGGCCAGTCGCGATGGGCATCGGTGTGGATGTTGCCAACAAAGCGGACTGCGGTTGGGATGCTGAGGTCGTAGTGGAGTAAGCATGCGGTGAACATGCGGCTCCATCGATGCATGGCAACGCTGGGGGTCAGATTTGGTGGTATGGGTTGTTGGAGGGGTCGGAAGTCCACAAAGCGGTGTTCTTGGATGAGAAGGGAGAGGAGATGGATGGATGGGCACACGTGGAAGAGGGTTGCAAGGTCGGTCTGGCTCAGGTAGCGGCTCTTCAGCAAAAATATCCAGGTATGTTCAAACTTATGCTCTGTACTGAACCACCTGTCCACGCTGTCCTTACCATGCGGAGAATCGACGGCAAGAAAAACCGGGGATGGGAGCTTGGTGGCTGCCCAGGTCTCGCGGTCTCGTTTGGTCATGGATGGGGTAGACGAACGACCTTGGACAGATACTTCAAGGAGCTCTCCAAATTTTTCTTGCTCTGCGTCAGTGAATTGGTAGTACTGGGAATCGGGAGGAAGGGCGGACTGGTGGTGTGCTGAGGGCGTTGCTGAAGGTTGGCTCCATGCAGGGGTGGAGGTGGAAATGCGGAGCAGGTTGGGTTGGTGCGACATTGGTGGCTGGGTCGGTGGATAAACGAGGCTGCTTGGGTGAGGGATGATGCATGTAGAGCACTCAGGGACTTGGAGTGGGTGTGGGAGGAATGCACAGAAAGGGAAGTGGAAAGTAAGTCACTGACGGGTTGAATGGTATTTAAGTAATGGGGTTGGTGGAACTAACCATGAGGCTTTGGGGCCGAACGGGTCACCCCAGGGGTTTTTTCAATAAATTTTTCAAATGCCTGGGTGTCGGCAGATCCCATAGTTGCTGCAAACTGTTTGGTGTAGTGGATATTGTGGCAGCGGGGGCGGTTGCAATGGTAGTTGGCAAATAGGAAATGGGAACAGAAGGCTGCCTGTTTGCCGGTAATGGGGTGTTTACATTTGAAAGGGGCAATTGGAAGTCGGCCTGGGCCGTCGTACGTCAGGTATCCGGGATGAGTTCCTTGAGGTGGGTGCTTTGCGCGTTTGGTTGGGTCAGGCGTTTGGGAGCTGGGGTTGGTTTTCCAGTGAGAATAGCATGCAGGTTGGGGCATGTACCGTACGGGCCAAGGTTGCCCATACTGATGGAGAGATTGATGTGGCTGATGGCTTGTGTGACTCCACTGAAAGCGTTCACGAACGTGTCTGCCATGATCGGTTGGCCATTACGAAGTTTACTTTGAGTCGTTTTGTTTTTTGCGGCTCCCACAACAATCTGCAAGATCTGGTTCATTTCGAGGAGGAGACACAATGGGAGGTGTGGGACTGCGGCATTGTAACGGATCCAATCTTTGGCAGCAGGTGTGTGGAGGGCGTTCATGAAATCCTCCAAGAGTGTGACAATTAACGGGGGGTCATCGAAGGTAAAGTCTTTGACACAGTATTTGACAAAGGCAAAGAAATTCGCTAACATCTTGATCAGAGCTTCGACAGAACTGACGTCGCCATGAACAAAGATGTCTGTCTTTTTCGCGGCTTGCTTGGACTTGTCTTCTTCCATGGCTTCCTGGCGGATTATGTCTCGGCCCTCCGAGAGGAAAGTGGTGTATCTGACATCATTTTTGTTCGGTGGGAGCCAAGCTAGGAGGCTGAGAAGTGACGTGGCTTCGTGGGGGTGCATGGTGAGGGGGCGGACTCCAAAGCTGCATGTTTTGAGGGCAGTGACTGTAGCGTGTTGGAAGAGGGCAATATCGAAGTCGACGTTACGGTCGTAATTGTTCCGAGTGGTGAGGGTATCGGTGATGTGGGCAAAGGTGTCATGGAGGTGGCGTAGGGCCTCTTTGATCGAACCTATTTCCAAGAAAGTGATAAAGTCGTCAGTGAGGACGGATGGGTGGAATTCGTTGACAGTAGAGCCGTCAAGCTGGATGACCGGTTTGACTCGGCCAAAAATCAGGCTGAAAGAGTCTTTAGCACTGGCTGAAGTGCGGGCCAGATCTTTTTCCTTGGTGCTGGCATTGGTGCCTTTGAGAGCATTGGCCATGATCTGGGCAAAAAGTTCGCTATCGAATGGGGCTCCTGCTGGAAGGGGGGCTGCTGGAGCTTCTTGAGTAGTGACATGATTAGTAGATGCTAAAGTAGAGAGGGCCGAGTGCCGTTTGAATTCTTCGAAGAGGGCTTTGTAGGTGGGGACTTCAGCTGCAAATGCACTGACGGTGGATGGGGAATATGTCAGATGCGTAGCCAGGTCGCTGTCGGGAAATCGATCGGTTGGGATGGTGTCGGCGCTGAAGATGTGGGTGTGGGAATGGAGGCTCTGGGACTCATTGTGGTCGTGGAGGTACTTCATTGCCTCGTACCAGAGTCGGAATTGGGGGTGGAAGGATTCCAGATTGGCTGGTGGGGCGGTGGATAGCGTAAGGCTTGGTGGGATGTTGGCACCAGGGTAGATGGGGAAGAACTTTTTGACTTCGGTGAACACGCCGTCCCCACTGGGCCAGTGGATGTCCTCGGGAGGGTCGGTGCTATCGGGGGCCAAGGCAGTGTGGGCAGAGTATTGGGCGTCATGAAGGTGCCGGGCTTGACATTCTCGAGCGAGGTCGTCTCGGGCAATAGATATGACGCTGCTGCCGAGGGCATCTAAAGAAAAAGCAACTGGGGTGGGGGCATCATAGCTATCATTGGCGGATGCCCAGTGCAGGTTTGGGCCGACCTGCTTAGCGCAGATGACTTGCAGGAGGGTACCATCGGCACCATCGAAGTAAGCAAATCCTTGCGCTTGGGAGAGGAGGATGTTTTTGCACTCACTAGCTGTATGGGTGTGGAAGTAGTTGGAGAGGAGGAGGTTTTCCTTAGTAGTGTCCAGGGGGAGGTCCTTGACGGTTGTCAAAGCAGAACGACCGACTTGGAGGATGGCATCAAGGGTGCGTGGGGGAAAGGTCTGCATTGGTTCAAATGAAATGGCCAATACTGGAGATTTGTGAGTAGGTTATGGAAACAAATAGTGACTATTGGGGGTAATTATAAATGAAATTTGTTGGTTGGAACGGTTGGGTTCCGGGAGGGTGGAGTGCCTAACGGAAGGATGCCTGGTGGAGTAGCCAGGGTGGGCCGTTATGGGGTTACAGACGGAAGGCCGGGTGTAGACGGAGTGCCGAGATGCGCTGCCAGTCTTTGGCGAAGGCAATTGCGACGGGACTCATACGAGTGGCGCAAAGTGGGTGTGGTGCGGAGGTCTGCGGAGGTTGAGTTGGCCGAATTGGGCGGTGTCTCACTCACACCTGTGCGAAAAATGCTGTTGCCGTACGGGATTGGAACGGGTCCGGGTAAGCGGGAACTTGTCGGTACGGGGGCATGGTGGTGGAGGGTCTGCCAACGGAGGGAAGTGAGCATGGATATGGGGGATGCTGCAGGTTGGGAACTGGCGGTGAGTCCAGGGATGATGGTTGGTTGTTGACTGGCAACAAATGCACAGGCGCATGGAATAGGGTGGTAGCACGGGGCTAAACCACCTGACACCGGGTGTCGGTTCAAATATCAGGAATTTGAGGGTGCCACCGGTGGGCAAGTTAAACAGCTGATGGGCGCTGACGCAACGGTGCATTTTGAGAGGGCTCCTGGGAGGGAGGTTGGCGTTGACGGTCAACGAATGCACAGGCGCATTGAATAGGGTGGTAGCGTGGGGCTAAGCCACCTGACACCGGGTGTCGGTTCAAATATCAGGAATTTGAGGGGTGCCACCGGTGGGCGAGTTAAAACAGCGGATGGGCGCTGACACAACGGTGCTGTTTGATAGGTCTGAAGGAGCAGTTTTACGTCAAATGCGACGCTCTCGGGTACGCGAGAGGAAATTGGGGTGCCACAGGTTGATCGGGCTCAAATCGGATTTGAGGATGCAACCTGGGCAGATTGGGATGGACGACTCCGGGAGTCTGGTAATGAGTAGATGAAAGAAAAAAAGATATAATCGTTCTGAACTGTTTCAGATGATCGTGGTTCCTTAGCTCTTCATCGTCTCATCTTGCACTTGGCAAAAAGAATGCTTCTGTTCACGCCTTCGTTTGCCATGCCGATCGTCCCCATATTTTTTGTCCAATGAATTACCGTTACTTCGCTTAAGCGACTGACGACATGACTGTTGGCGTGAAGACAGGAGTCTTCTCTTGCCAGTCCGTCTACCGTCTTGCCTGTTCATCTACGACCTCCTAGCAACTTAAAATTTTTTACAAGGAATGGGCAAACTATTCTCTAGCGATCTGAAAAGGTTCTAGGTCCATAGCTGCTTTTTGAAATTTTTACTTTGTCACCAGAATTCCAAATTCCTGCCACATTTTGGGTTGGGAATTCGCGGATCGGGGTCATATCCTTCAGTAAGTCGTGTACGATGGTCATTGGTCATGCCAACTTTCACGAACCCAAGTTCGCCGTCGCCGTTTACTCGTACACACAAAACACAAGAGTTTGTGTAGGAAAAGCTGGTATTGCATTGTATTGACGATGTCTGTGGAATCAGTGAATTCCGAGATAGCTGAATTGAATGCCGAGTTGAAAGTGTGTTTGAAAGCCCTGAACAATTATGACAAGGATGAGTTCTTCATCGACCACCCAGTCTATCGATATTTGGATGCAACGGATCATGGCGCACGTAGGGAATACTTGTGGAAAGACAAGGAACAAAAGGAGGAAGACTTGAGGAAAGAAAAGGAAGACTTGAGGAAAGAAAAGGAACACTTGAGGGAAAGAGATATGCACCTTTTGAGGGAAAGAGATATGCACCTATTGAGGGAAAGAGAACTCCTCCTATTGAAAGCTGTACCCCCTTCAACTCGTCCACCGCTTTCCCCATTTTCATCGAGAAAACCGTCCGAGGTGCCTCCATCGACAGGAAAAGACAGGCCCAATGCAACCACACCAAAGGATAGTCCATCCTCGAATGAAGGGAAAATCGAAGGTCTGAAGCATGCGTCCGATGACAAAAACACGACTATGCAGTGCACTAGTCATCCCTGTTGTGTGGAGCTCATGAAATTGTTGTACGCAACTATCGAGGAACGGAACAATAAGACAACATCCTCAGACGCCCAGGATGACAAGTTCGCAATCGCTTCAAAGATTGTCATCGCAAATAAAAATCTCATAGGTAAAAAGGACGCGGACACTCTCTCAAGTGAAAGGTTCTTTACAGGGCTCTTTGCGAATGCAATGAACGCAGTACTAGATGAGGGTTTCACAACTCTCCATCAAGCTTGCATTGGTTCCGGCGCAACCCATTCTGACCTTTCCGTTTGCCGTTTCAAGTCCGAGCCCAAATGGCCGATCACACTTTTGGTAGGTGAGGGGAAGAAAACGGCAGAACACCTCCGCAGAGACACACGAGGGCAACTGTTCAATGAGCTTTTGCGTCATCGGTCCATCGAATACAGTTTGAACAAAGATCCACATTATTACGGACCTATCCTTCTTCTTGCCTTTGACAAGAGTACGATCGATATCGACTTGGCATTCCCATCCAAAAGAGGCGGGCAGCTTGAACGTGATACTGCTGTCTTTTTCCACGAAGAAATTGTAAAGGAAACGGAAACATTTTGGACAGTACAATTGCTCAGGACAAAGATCTCTTCTCGAAACTATGCTAAATCGAATCTTGCAATCGTCTTGCAATTTCTTTCTTCTGCATTAAAACGGCTTGATTCATGGCAATCAGAGGGCTTTTCCCGTGTTCACTTCAAGCTTCCAATGCCATTGTCCCTCAATGACAAGATTGAGCATGCTATATACTACAATGAAAATGTTTCAAAGGTGACGCTAATAGATAGAAGAGTGCTCTTGTTCAAAGAGTATTGCTACAACCTTCGCCAAGACGACCTTACTGGCAATCAACTCCTCGAGCCAATTATTGACCAAATCTCAAAAGAGGACCAAAGAGTACCACCGCCAGACGAACTACTACAATGTCTTGGAGAGCCATACAGTAGTGACTGGAAGGTTTATACCGAGCCTTTTGGCTGTGTGCTGCAGTATCCCTTTATCGATTGCAGTTCAAGCAGTCCAAACGTTCTTGGTTGGATACAGATTCTCTGTCAAGTTGCCAAGATGCACACGGCCGGATATGTTCACGGAGACTTGCTTCCTCGAAACGTCCTGTTTGGCAAGAAGAATAGTGGCTTTTTGATAGACTTTGACCTTTCGAGAAAGGAAAACAAGCCATACGTCAGAGGTTTCAATTTTGCAGATTTTGAAGACTTTCGTCATCCCGATGCAAAGCCTTGCAAACAGATGAAAAAGATCCATGACGTTCATTCACTTTGCCAAATCAGCCATTACTTTTTTGATTTAGGAGAAAAGCCAATACAAGAGGGGATCACCCTGAAAGGTCTCATTGCGCATTTTAAAGCCAATGAGAAGCTTCCGGTGAATGCCATAGAGGAGAGCAAGGACTCAAGTGGCAGTCCAAACAGGTAGACTTTTTACTATTTGGAGTCCCAGGGTCATTGCTTTTATCCATTTCTTTTGCCTCCAACAAAAGCCGCTGAAAATGCAAATGGACTAGCTTGTTGGCAAAAAATATGACTGACAATATCGTAGGATATATTTGTATTACACTGGTCTAGAAGTCGTGTCCATCACAATTATCTATATCTACAACAGGATGGAAGTCATTGTTGGTTGTTTCTCGCAATGAATATTCCTTTCAAGGGCTCAAAAAATAGCATAGATGTTGCACAAGATGACCATGGAAATTTTGTGCAGCGTACTTAGTCTTCTCATGCATCATCATGTCAGAGATTTGCAAATTGCCAATATGGAAAAAGAATGGGCAATGGAGGAGTTCTTGGAAGATAAAGAAAAAGCCTCCAACAATCATGAGCCCAACCTTCCAAATATGATTCTACCCAAGTTCCACCTACCAAAGTCAGAGAGACGACTGTCTAGGGACAAGATGATGAAAAATATCCCTTGGAACGTCCTGCTCAACTTCAAAAGCATACAGCATGGATCTGTGTCTATTGTTGCAGGAACAATTTGAAGTACCTGAAAATTTACCCTCTTAATGACCCAAAATCCCTTGTTTACAGAACTTGATTTGACTTCTACGATGATTCTGTGTTGGATACAGTACTTTGGGACATCTTGTATTATTCCCTACTGCATTGTACACAACATTGATATCTCACTTGTATAGGGTCATTCCCTTTTTGTGTGGATGTAGATTGTCCGACAGACTTGCGTCCGGCATACTTGTGGCAAATCCCGACATTACGATCAAAGTCCGATCGTATGTGTCGAAAACTTCGTACTTGAATAGTTTCTTTTCAGAACGTAAAAACTCATATTTCATCATATCCCAACACACTCCTGCTGTTGTGACAATCACCATTGGCAGCAATGGGACATGCTCTCATTCACTGTTTATTTTTTTGTTTTGTATTTTCATTTTTGAACATATACATACTTGTCTGACCTAGTCCTGTGGACCAAGAATCAGATCCCTGAACTTGCAAAACTTCTCACCTTGCAATGGCTTAGTCATGAAATCCGCAATCATATCGTCAGTTGGGCAGTATTTGATCTTAACATTTCCTTTCTCAACTTGATCTGTGATAAAGAAATAACAAATATTGATAGCTCGGCTTCTTTTGCCCACGCTCTTGCGACCATTCTCTTCCAGTAGAATTGCGCTTTTATTATCCTGATACAAGATATTTTTCTCAATCGGATACCCTTGCCACTCCATGAACAACTTCGTCCATAGTATCATCGTGACAACATCGTCAACAGCAATCAGTTCTGCTTCCATACTGCTTCTGCTGTTTAGCTTTTGCTTCTTCGACATCACTTGAGCTGCACCTCCTCCAAAGGACAGAGTGCCGCCAGTATGGCTCTTGAAATCTGGATGCACCGCAAATGATGCGTCGATCATCCATTTCATGACTCGTAGTGATTCTGCGGAAAGTGTAAGGTGATACAACGATGTACAAAACAAATATCGCATCATGCAAACACACTTCTTCCAATCAGACTCTGTAGGTTCTCGAACTCTTGAGGCAAGAATAGTAATTGTTGGATGGATATCCAAACAAGCTCTCTTAGAGACATAAAGTCCCCTTGCAACAGTAGTATGAAAGATTTGACAGTACTCAGCATTGAGTAACTTTCCTTTCCCAGCGTCCAGTAAATCGTTACCAGCTGGTGTTTCCTGCTTTGAATCCTTGTTGAACTTGACAGGAAAATCTTCCAACATGTTCTTGACATAGTCGTCCATGCGGATTTTGAGTTTTTCTTTTACCAAGAAATCCAAAGTCATTCCAAGATATCTGTGTATCTTTCCTCTGACGATTTTACATGGCTGAATCAAACCATATCTCATGTTCAACCATTCAGCAAATTCGTCATTTACTTTCGGACCCATGTGACTTGACATAAGATCGTCAACATGAAATCTGATAGTTTGCTGTTTTTCATTAACAACTTTGTTAGCAACACACGGGTCATACGGATTGAAAACAAATCCCTTTGCCTCCAAATCACTTCGAAACTGATTATAGAATAGGAGGCTCGATTGCAACATCCCATATATAGCACGTAGTACCCGCACATAGATTACTCGCTTTCTGTTCTCTAATACAACATATTTGCAATACTCTGGGGCCATGTCAATCAATATCTGGACCATCATGCCAGTGATTTTCATGTAGACACGATCTTCTCCTTCCTTAGCATCAGGCATATAAGTTTGAATGAAAGCGTTAGGTACGTCCAGTGTCATTACATCTCTACCTTTGTGTGCATCAATAACACAAGTAGTGGTGATTGCTTCCTGCAAAGCAGTTGGACTTGCAGTGTCCTCTCGCAATAACCATTCACGAGTTCCATCGCCTCAGAATACTAGGCGACCTTTAATTGTCTTTTCGAATTGCTTCTCCGCGAGTAACATCATCGCTGATTGGGCCTTCTTTCGCTCAGACGCGGTCATGTCTTTAACAAATTCAGGAGTAAAACAATCTCTCAGGAGCATTTGTCTCAATTCCTTATCCACAGCATCCTTTCCATCATCACCAAACTTCTTCAGTCCTTGGTTGATGTAATACTGTTGAATGAAGTTCAGACCTTCATCAGTTTCAAACTTTGCCTTGATCTGCATCATGCAACGAGCAATTAGAATAGCGTCGTGCTCCTCATAATCAGCTTTCATCTCATTCCCAATCTGTTGGAAACATAGATTGTGCTTTGCTTCAAGGATAGCTTTACTGTCTTTAGTACTGCAACTTCCTTCTTTGGTACGAATACCAGATTCTAACTTGTTCTTCAGCAGTTTCAATTCTCTTTCTCGATGCTTGCGTCTTGTCGCAACTCAATTCTTGTTCTTATTGGCAGAACTGCCACTCCTGCTCAAAGGCCATTCTCTTGGTTTCTTTGGAACTTGAGAAAGGTTCAGCCCAGACATTGCAGCTTGCGCATACGTTTGCCCAGATTGAGTGACTTTTGCTACTTGAGGCTCTTCAGGCCCAAATGAAATCTCTTCTTCTGGCGGCTCTTGTAGGTCCTTTAGATCAGTAACGAGGCTCTCAATATCATCGGTCCCTCTATCGACATTTTCTTGATGGTGATCCAAATCGGCCACAATAGGTTCTTCCTCTTCGTCGCCTTCATCACCCGAATCGTCGTCTGATTCATAGTCATCATTTCCTTGGAATCTGACAGTGAGTTCTGGCATATCATCGACATCATTGTCTGCATCTGCCAAGAGCTCTTCTCTTTTGGAGTCATCAATATCATCGAATTGTCCATGTAGATTGAAATCACATTCATCTTCATCTTCAGCTTCATAGTCCTGATCAAAGGCTTCTTCTAAGTAACCTTGTTCCGTGTCATCCACTCCTGCGATTTGATCGCCATCTTGAAACGTCTCCAAATCTCTCTTCTTATCAAAGAACTTCATGGAAGTAACACCTTTGGCAGCAGCCCAAGCTTCAACACGATGGATTACTTGATTGGTAACGGGTAGTACAACGACCTTGGGTCGGGAAATCATCTTCTTAGTATTGAGGTTGAGCACTCGGTGCCCAGTACGTTAGCCTTTGTAGGTTCAATGTAAATCGCTTTGATACTTCGGGGTTCCATCAAATTGTTGGAATCTGTCCCAATTGCATGAACATATTGTCCAAGTTCAGCAACCATGTCACTCTTGTAGTTGATATTGACATTATCAATGAATTGCTGCGGACTGAAATGTGATGAGATACTGTCTTTCTGGGGAAAGACATTCAATAGCTCGGCGGCTCGACGTCCAAGACATTCAGTGATCACTTTTGGAACCACTTTGTAGGGTAATCGTGCAAGA